GTTTCCAATGAACCCAATTCTGTTCCCTTGCTACTCATAATACTAATATTTTATACAACTAGATTTTTAAAAAGTGGGAATTTGGTATTTTCAAACTTTGTCCCATGTGAGGCATTGTGCTTTAAACTGCCCCTTTCTTAAAAGGCCCTGAACTCAGATTTCAGGGTCTGTTCTCCAACTACTTGGATACCATGCATAGCAAAAGCACAGGTGTTAAAACCAGCAGAGTTTTTCTCCCATTAAGGAACATCAGTAGGACTCCCAAACACGTCACTAGTTCATAACCAGCTATATGACAAAGCAATTGATTCCCCACAGTGACAGCTCACATAAACACATTGTGACTCGACACACCGAAAATGAGGATTTCCAAGTTAAGTGAGTCATCCAGACCAGCTCCCCCAAAGGAGTAACTTTTAAAAGCAGAAAAAAAGCCAAAGAATTATGAACTTCTCACTTCACTTGCAAAGTTTTCACCTTTTTAAGACAAAGCAACTTCAAAGGAAAAAAAAAAAAACAACAAACCACCCATACACATACACAAGAATTGTACTAGACATTTGCTTGTTATGTACTTGAACTCGACGACTGTGGATCTGTTGTGGCTGAAAGGTGTACTGGAAACAGTCCATGCACATATACATATATACATATATCAAGGGCCGTGAACTTGTCAGATGTTGCAAACACATGCTTTTTGCCTTTTCACACGGTTCTGATTTTTCTTCCGTGTGTACGATCAGGTCCCGGTGCTCCCACTTGTACAGCCCTATCCCAGCCTCTCTGCAGCTGGCTTAGCGTCTGGCTTTTATCTTTAGGATGCTACACTGGGTGGGGAGAATCAATGCATGCATAAAAGCATGTTATCAGGAATGCCTCTGCTGTATCCATTCATAGTCACGAGCCACTCAGTGTTATTAGGAGAAGACTGTCTGATTGAACGCAAAGAGCCCTTCTGGTCAAACATCTATAAGGACGAATGTGGTGGGTATGCCACACGCAATTAAAAAGGCGTTTGGCAGAGATGTAACATCACAGATCTAGTGAGTTACGACATAACGGGGAATGACGAATCCTGCCTCTGCTGTTCAAAGAGAAACTTTCCTCTTGCATTTATGTTTGCGAAACGCAAAAATAAGGCAGGTGCCTGAATACCATGCCACCTCACCAGAGTGTTGAACCAGAAACATTAACAAAACTTGGCATGAAACATTCCATCTGCAGTCTTGTATTTCAGATAGTAAATGAAAATTCTACCTAACAGCATACGTGGATGTGCTATCAAAAAAACCCCACCAAAATGCTAGTTGATAAACCACTCTTAATTAGTCGTCAGACGTGTGTGTGAAGGGGAAGGGTGTTTTTAAAGTTGACACTTACAGACTACACCCAGGGGGATCCTCAGTTGTGTGATGAGAGGGAGGCGGTCAGATCAGTACAGTCAAGTGTGAAGGCTGACGGTCTGGCCGTAAGACTGACTATTGCTCTTGGTATGGATAGCATCATAGCATCATGTAAAGAAGAAAAAAATACATTCTACAGTTGATGAAGTCAGCGGCTAGACTGATTATTTTCAGAAGAATTTTTCAAAGGAACAACACTGAAAACCAAAACCAAAACCCCTCCCCAGTGTCAGAAAGCAAGCCGTGGCTGAACCACTCCTGGGAAAGGAAAACTGTGATTTTTTTTTTTAAGATCCTGTTTGACCCTACCCGGAAAGGGACCGTCACACTGATCCTGTGCTGCTCCCCCCACAAATGGACGGTTTCCGTGGAACAGAATGGGCTTTGCGTATGTCAGTCAGGGAGAGAGACCTCTCCCTCTTGCCCAGAATTGGAAAGAACACTCTAAAACCTCTTCCTTTCCCCACAGTGACGTGTAACACACACAGTGACTCTGATGAATGAGAAGCACTGTCAGGATTCCTGAAGCGGCCAGGACCTTAACGAGCTCGACACAGCCCAACGCGGTAACGGTGAGGATCCTGTTTATTTGCTTTATGATCTCAATTGAATGGAAAGCTAGGAAAATAACACATGGGCGGATTGAAAATAGTTTTTCAGATCATGCTTCTTCCAAAATGAGGGTTTATGGTTGCAATGGGTAGTCTAACGTTGGAGAGACACATGGTCTAAATGCAGCGATGATACCTTGAAAACAGTGGTCCAAACAAAGGCGGACACTGCCCCAGGAGGCTCCCTTTCTTCCTAAGAACTAGATGCTCTGACCTGCTCCATGGCGTTAGCGTTCCAGTAGGTCTTGTACTTGTAATTAATGTGTAATAACTCGCAGATCCAAGTGGGAAGAGAGTGAAGTAGTTACTCATTTCTCTGTAATCAGGAGAAAGTGCAAACCATCCTAGCCCTCCCTCCCCCCACCTGTACATCCCTTTGCTACCTCTCCCCCCCGCCCCCACCCCAGATTCAAGAAGTTCACAATTCTTAATGAAGCACACATTACCTGGTACCGTATTTTAAGAGTTTTGAAACAACATTGTTGAACTCAGCAATACTTTGTCATATTCATATATCTTTCTCTTTTTTTTTATTGAATAAAGCAGCTTTGAAGCTTATCAGGCACTGCCCAACAAAACATTTAGTCCACAAAAATCTGTTATGAACTTTTTAACCTTGGGCTAACAGCCAAGTACTCTGTACAAGAAAAAGTGTAAAATAATTCATAGTTTTAATTCTGAAGCCATTTTTGTTTTTTGTTTTTTGTTTTTTTTTTTTTACTGGCATCCTGTACACATTTCTTCTTTAAAAAAAAAAAATCACAAAATGAATATTAACAAAAAAAAAATTAGGGACAATAATATTTTCAAGCAACAAAAATTGGGATGGGGTAAGCTTATTCTGAAGGTACATTTAAAACTGAGAACAATGAAAATTAAGAATTGCATAGCACTGTGAATTTAGTCTTCAGGAAAACAAAACAGAAGCTATTTGGTATTGATACAAATCCATCTATTTGATAGTTAGTCATCCATTGTTATGTACATATTTTATATAACGAATGTCCTTTAAAGTCCGGTTTTCCAAGCTCCATTTTTCTGTTGGTGTGGTGGTTTTTACAGTTTAAAGGAAACACTTTCTGGCATTCAGCTACACCAGAATTTCCTCTGAACATACGTGAGCGGATGTTCTCCCAAAACGTCTCTGGTGAGCCGAAGTGCCTTTCTGCTACATACCGTTCATTTGTTAGAAAATGAAATAATCCACAGTGCGATGTGTCTGGGTCCACCGTGCACAGCCCATACCCAGGCTGAAGCAGCCCGGCTCGAGCGTTCCCAGGCCAGGGCTCTTGGGCCCGTCCACCCTCTGGTCTACAAGGTCCCAACTTTGAGCTGGTAAAGCTTCAAAAAGCATTAACAAGCACCATGGTTAAAGGCCTCTTTGTCCCTGCACGCAGAGATTTTTGCATTTCTTTTTCTCTTTGTGTCGTGTGTCCTTGTGGCTTTAAATTAAACCAAAAAATAAAAAAAAAAAAATTTAAAAAAAAGGACAAGGACTCCAGAAACGTGTGGTCCTGGCACAGTGCTAGGCTGCGTATCTTCCCCTCTACTTTTTTGTCGAAAGCTCGAGTCCCATCTGAAGGCAGATGGCTGCATTTCCTCAGCTCAATTACAGGTCAGGCTGGAGAGGAGCCCTGTGCTTTCCAGAGGCCTCGGGGTGGTTGAGCTCCAGGAGAAGGATCAGAGGACAAGTGCTTCATCGCCTCTGCTGTGCATATACCGGGTAGGCTAGTGTGACGTTGAGGGAGTCGTTGTGCTGCACGAGGGAGGTGTGTTGGTAATGTAGCACCAGCTCTTTCAGGGAGCTGTACAGGTTATAGGGCTCGGCAAAGCCGTAGCCAGTTGCCGTTTTGTTGATGACACAGTGCTTCACTTCGCCATCCACCCTGCAGAGGACAGAGAGAGAGAACAGGGTTTTCAGAAAAGGGTCCTCGTGAAAAAGTACCTTCTGCGGGCCTTGCGCCAGGAAGGGAACACTCCCGGGGGAGCTACGGGCTTGGGCTGCTACCTCAGCTTCCCTGAGCCACTGTATTCTCATCTTGAAGGTGGCAGACGTGTCACAGGGTGACTTTGAGAAACGAGATCGGGTAGAGGACGCGCGCACTACCATCACCGACGGCCCTGCCACGCGAGCAGGGCTCTACGGTTAGCACAGGCGTGAATTGCATTCTTGCAGACCAGCCTCTCACGTTGCATTTATCCTCAACTCTCTCCCTCCTGCTCAGTAGGAATATTTCTCCGGTTAAATGGAGGGAGATGGCTGGGTGCAATTTTCAGAACCTTTCCTTCCCAGAGGACACTCGCTTTTCTTAACTCATAGTGATCCGAAACTTAGTGTTCATAGTATTCCCCGAACACAGGAGACATAAAAGGAAAACGCGCCACATGCCAGAAAGGTCTTCTCTTGGGTACACTGATCTCAAGGCCAATGACCTCTCTCTCTAGCTGTTGGGCCCTGTGCCTGGTGCAGACTTGACCTGCGGGTGGAGCTCTCTTGTGAATTCCCTCATATTCTAATGCTATTAACCTTGGGAAGTAAAACAAAAAAAACCCCCATGTTGCTACTTCCATTTTAAAGATGAGAAGATCGAGACTGCTCATGATGAGATGAAGTAGTTGGTGAACTGAGACCCAAACCCCAGTCTTGGAACTCAACAGCAGGTTTCTATGCTTCTGCCTAGACCTGAAAAACGTTGTATCTTTTTTACTTCCTACTCTAGGTTATGGCACCGTGAGGTTCTTCGAAGCTTGGTTGGCTGAATGAATGAAACACGTCTGCAGCTGTCTGACAGGAGAGAAAGATACGTACACTACCGAGCAGGCATAGCAGCCCTGTTTACTGCTTTCCCGGACCAGGAAGGTGCCATCTCGCTTCCCCCGGAGTAGGTTTTCAGCCTTGTTTCTGTTGCTGCTGCCGACATTCCATGTCTTCTCGTCGTGGTGCGGCAAATCCTCATCATCCTCCACCAGCGAGTATTGGCTAAGGAGGCAGGAGAGAAAGGTTGGACATGAAGCCCTGGGAGAGGTCACCTCTCCCACGGAGCCCGTCAGGCCAGCCACCGAGGCTCTGACTCAGGCGGCACTTGGCCGTGGAGCTCAGCCTTCCATGTGACCTCCCTGGACAAAGAGCCCCAGTAGTAAGAGTCTTCCTCTTTGTAAGTCAGGAGCTACATGTAGGCAGCTGGGCAGAGGGGAAGGTATCAAACGATCCTGTTTGTCCAGTTCAGATCAGGAAACCGACTGCCTAGGAGGACTGCCAGTTTCTCATGTAATTCAAACAAAACCCAGCCTTAAGCTTTAGAGATACACTGAACAGAATTGTGTCCTTTTTTTCCCTCCCGACTGTTCCAGAAACCCACTGGGGATTTTTACAGGTTTGGGGCCTTCCTTCTAGACAGAGTCACTCAATTGCACTGTGGGTAAAAACTAACTCTGCACCCTTCACTAAACTTTCCTTTTGTGTAACATTCTGGACAATGCGACGTGGTTTACAGAAGATGTTCCAAACTCCGTGAAATTCCTCCCTTGGTCTACAAACAAAGCAAGTCACGAGTTCTCTTACCATGAAGACCCCCCCGCCCCACCCCCGCCAGCCCCCGGGCAGCCTCCCACCTACGGTGAGTACTCACTCTTCAGTGTTCTCATTGCCCAGCCACTCGTTCAGCTTCTTCTGCCGAACACCTTTCTGAGTCAACCACCTGGAAGACAGTTAGAAAAGGAAAATGCATTAATCACGTATCCTTGGTTTGGGCACCGGCCGGTCATTTGCTCCCAGGGTTCTGCCTCGAGGACTTACATCAAGTATTGGTCTCTTGTCTTTCTCAGCTGAATGAGGTCTGGTTTAATGCTGTTCATGCGCTTGTCAATCTCCCGATACTCAGCTGCCTGTTTCTTCAAGTCCTCCTCCAGTCGTCTTCTACTGTCCACAATTTCGCTGATGCGAGACTTCAACTTTTCATAATTATGCATAATCCTATAGGCAAGAGTAAGGCATCGGTCATGACCTGCTTCACCACAATGGTTTCCCACAGCTTATAGAAAGTCAGAAAGAATGCTTTCTCGTTGCTGCCATTTTTAAAAATTATTCAAAGGGCAGAAAGCAAGATCATCGTTCAACAGTTCTGGAGGATTTGCATTATTATCTTGAGCACAGGGACAACCCTCATGGTTCACCAACCTTTGTATTTCTTTCTCATTGCCTTCCCGTTTAAATTTTTCTATGTATTCTTTGCTGTACCGTTCTTGGCTTTGGCACTGCTCTTCAAATATTTTTATGGTTTCATTAAATGCTTCAATAGCTGTTCTTTTCATCTGGATTTCCTACAACACAATGTTTAATAAGACAATGTCATACCTTTCACAGAACGGATAATTTGTTATTGTGAGAGACACTGCCGGGACATTTGATGGTATTCCTGTCTAGCATGGAAGGGACTGTGTTAGCAAGGAAGGCCTCTAATTCATAAAACCCATTAAAATAGTATCACAGAAGCACACATTTCCTTTGGGAATTTTCCCAGTCTATGAAAGCAGACTGCCTAACAATTTCCTATAGTTTTCATTTTAAAAGCCCTTCCCCTTTATCAGCAATTTAAGGAATCCATGTTGCCTTCTACTCCCTCTGGTGGTTCTAGATACATCATAGCCTAGAGAAGATTACCTCTCCAGGAAAACATTGTCATAAATGGAGCTTCTATACTTGTTTTATTTTTTTTTTTATTACAGGGCATCAAAAAGTTAAATCTTCGTTTTGGAGGTCAGACAAGTTGGTGGAACTTTGAGTTGTTACGTCAAATCCACTTGAAACTCGCAGCGACCTCTGCAATTATCATCACGAGAACTTCTCATTCTGACACTTACGAGCTTCATTTAAAAGGTTTATTAGAGATGCTATGAATATTAAACAATGATCTGCAAATACATGATCTTTCTCCCCACTTGATGAGCAAAACCTCAACTTTACTTTCTTTTTCCTAAACCGAACTGACACAAGTTCGATTCTAGTAACTAAGAGTTCTGAGATTTTAATTTGATTTTAGCAAAAAACTCACCTGGGAAGTACGGGTATAATCTTCATATAATCTATCATATTCCCGACTTTTTTCTTGAAATTGAGTGTTATATTCATGTAATTTTTTCCCTACAGCTTCAATATTATCTTCTTTGACAACTTGATCCTGGAAGAATGAGAGATGGGAAGAGAGAAAACTTCAGTTCATCGGCTATGCAGTCCAGTAACTGGCCATTCTCAAACTGTAATTTTGTGACCACAGGTATAAAGTTTTTGAAATTTTATTACATGCAATTCACCTGCTTCACAGTGTTTTCTAAGGATTTGAAAGTGTCTTGTCTAAACATTGTAATGTGAGCATTTCAGTTTTGAATACCTGTTGGTATTTGGATACTGGATAAAGTAATTTCACGTCCAGTTTGGGATTATACTGAGCTAGGGACTCATTCCGGTAGTGGTTTATTAGTTCAACCACAGAGTTGAAGGTTAGTGGGTCAGAGAAGCCATATTTCCCATCTCGGTGAAATATTTTGATTAACTTGTTATTTCCTCCTTTCCTGTAAACACAATAAAATAAAGGGCATTATTACAATCTTCTTTAGAAATGTGTTCCAGTGTCTACTTACACACCTCAAGCGTTGCTACGTTCCCGGACTCACCTTAGTGTAAGAGTATAATCACCGTGCATTTTAGTAGATGCGTCTCGTACCAAAAAGGTCCCATCAGCTGTATCTCGAAGTTTTTCATTCACTTCTTCCCTGAAACGAAAAGGACACAGGACAAAGCTCACCTTGAGGATTTTAAAACAGGCTTCATTTTTAGAGTTTTAGCTTCACAGCAAAATTAAGCACCAACTATGTAGAGAGCCTCTGTCTCCCCACCCCTTTGTTAATTGCATTTTCTGATTATATGTATTGTTTATATAGAAATGTAATACATTTCATCTCATTACAAACTGGGAGCTGAAAGAAAAAAAAACAAAACAAAAAACCTTTCATTACTGGTCTATCAGTGGTCCAAACACACTAATCACTCTGGCCAATGAGCTCACAAAGTCATGATCCTGAAAAGGACTCCTTCCTCCCCTTCAGAAAAAAAAAAAAAAAAAAAAAAAAAAAAAAACTACGAATAAACAGGCCTTTTTCATATGTACAAGATACTAACATTAATTCTTACACTTCTGCCTAACAGAAAGCGACCCTGGACCCTCCCTTAAGGCGGTGGGCCACCTCACCCTGGTGCTTTCCTGACCTCTCTGTCAATAATGAAACTTCTCGAGTATTTAATTTCCTGTGGCATCCAGCACCCAACAGTTCCCCAGTGCTCAGGGACTTCTCTGGTCTTCTTTGGAAGACAACCAACTATGCTTCATGCTTATGTTGGAGGATATCCTAAAAATGGAACTCAGCAAGCTGGTGTGTTTCTTTCTCTAAAACCAGAGCTCTGTCTCTAGCGAAAACTGCAGAGTTTGTGGAGCCTTACCTTGAGATATCTCCCCAGTACCATTCAGCATCTTGTAAGGACATATTGTTATTCATACCGTTGTTGGCTACAGTAGTGGGTTTGGGTGGTTTAGGAGGCAATGCTGTAGATTAAAGAGAAACAAAAAGTTGTTGGCGATCCCAACTACGGTGGAAGGTTGCAATGAGAACTAAGTTTCTTTACAATACTATGAAATACAGCAATAATTCACAACTCCATGAAACATGATCGTTTGCTTTAAAAAAAAAAAAAAGGCATCTCTCAGAGCATGGATCAAAAAGAAAAGGAAGTGAAAAAGAGAGAACGGCTTAGAGATGAACAAATAAACCCGGCTGGCCATGTGAGTGTATTTCAGAGTAAATCCTGAGTCCCGGCATTCTGCTTCTAGGCTCTAGTTATATTAAAGTTTCAGGCCTGATCAAATCCATCTAAAATAGGAAACCATGAACATATGAGCAGGAGGAATCACATGGGTTGGCTTTAATTTCCTCCTCTTATTTAATTATAAAAGACAAATTTGGTTTCTGTCCTCCACAAATGCTGTTGCTGTAAGAAAAAAGCTCATCTACAGCAATATGTTTTAAGAGGAGGAATTGGGTTTCTCTAATCTTAGTATTTCAGGCCCTCTTTTGCCAAAAGCCACTTTAAGAAACTCATCTGTGACCTAAATCTCTTTAGCATTCATGTTAATATTCTAGTGGATAGATTGTGCTCTATATGCCAAGACTGATTAAAAACCATATCCCTCTTCCTCAATGTCAAGTGTTTCTGAATTTCTTAATTGGGAGCAGGGCTAATACGGGAACAAAATTTGGGAAGCAAAATAAGGCTAGGATTTGTAAGTGAATTCTAAGTCGTCAAGTTTTAAAGGACAGTATTTCATGCAAAAATTATTTCAGGAGTCTGTCAAGAACATTGTATAAGGACTAGGATGAAATAAGGGCAAGCCAACTCCTTTTCTCAATATAGTGTCTCAATATAAGAGTAGGCAAAGTCTCAGCGTCTGATTTAGAATAGTTTCAGGTCACCTACAACTGAGTTGTAATCACTGCTACATTCTACACGCCTTCTAAAGTACCAAGTGTTATCACTGCAAAGTACCACTGTTCCCATCCACTGTCAAAAGAGAAAAGCAGCACAAAGGACGCATCATTTTAATTAAAGGAACAGTATGAAAGATACACAACAATACAACACAAACACCAAAGGACCTCGATTAACAAAAGACACCAGTGAAAAACTGGAATTCAATTCATATCTATTCAAGTAAGAAAAAAAACCATTTACCAACAGACAGCCTGATCTGCTTGCTTCCACAGGCAAACGATTTACTGTCCAAGCTATGATCAAACTAATTTTTATTAAGTTACAACAAATTAGTAAAAAATAGAAAACTCAAGAGGATCGGTTTACGGTAGTTGTCAATCTCCCCCCTCCCCAAAAATCCGCAAAATTAACTAGCTTTCTAAAAGAATACTGCAGTGTTACCTGGTGGATCCATTTCTATATAAAACATCAAGTCTGTGCCACAATTTATATCTGTCTTAGCATATTCTAAATCCAGGTCTTCCATATTCCAAACAGTGTTGTACATTTGTGCGAGAGTTTCCTTGGCTGAGCTCAGTTATAAGAAAAGAGTCCGGCTTTCTTTGTAATGGTGTCTTGGAATTCATTTTAAAACCTATAAGGGGCTGCACTGTAACCTATTACATCACACACCCCAGCCAATCAAGTCAGAAAAATGTCACCAGACCACTCCTGCTCCATCATTTCTCTTCTAGATCCAGTCTTAACACAATCCCAGCCTCAGGAAGAACCCACATTTCATAGAACTGCAATGTATACATGCTCATCGTTTCAAAAAGGTGTTTAATTTGACTCTTCTCCTCCAGCACTGAGTTCTCTAATTCCTTTTTTATTACTCCTTGCAGCATGGTACGCTCCGCTGTTGGCAGGTTGACAAAAGCTGATATGCTGCAGCCCGGAGCTTTTTTTCTTTTTTTTTTCCCTAGTGCATCTGGGTTTATGGAGAGCCTGGTCATGCCTTGGTTTAAAAATCTTACAAATGCATCAGAATGGTATATTTAAGGTATATTTTACAGTCCTTAAATGCCTCCTGTATATATTAAAAGCAGAAGGGATCAAGAACTCAGGATGTTTAATTTCATTCCTGCATAACTCACTGACAACTCAGAACTTAAACACTGTTACAAACGTACCACATTAGAAAGCACAATTTAAAGAAAAATCTCCTTCTACCAAACATACTAAAGTTAACACTAGCCACTAGGGAATAATAATGCAACATCTCAACAGGAATGAAGATCTGCCTATTACCAGCACACATTTAATGTTACTGTCTAACAAGACTAGTCCAGGTGAGTTACGCCTTCCAAAAAGAAAGGGGCCATATATATCAAGAATGCAGAGCAGAGGTAGGGTTATGTTTGCAAACTATTTGTCACTGATAAACCCATCCTCCGACTTCTTGTGCTAATACTGCTTGAGGGGAGAGTGATGTAATCACTTTTGGTTGTTCGCACCCCCCCCCCCCCCCACCAATCTCAAATGCCTTACCCTGGGGACTATTATTCCTGGTTAGCAATATTTAATGTAAATAAATCAATTCCTCTCTAAATCTATTAATTTCAGTTCTCTACAGCCATTCTGCATATAGTCTTCCCATCCTCACTAGAGCTTAATGTACATTTCCATTATAAACCACCTCTTTACATTTACATTATTATGAAGAGGTGAGGAGGAAAAGCCCCCATCCCCAATTAGTAGCTGATTGAAAAAAACTGTAGTGGGCTTGTGATCAATGCACTTATGTATGTCACATATTTGTGTGACCATTTAAAGAACACAGAACCCCTTAAAATTTATTGTTAGACCCTCTATCAAATTTAGAATCATATAAAACAGTAGAGCAAAGGCACGTCATTTCACCGAGCACTCTGCTTGAATCCTGTCTAGCTGGATTTATTGTCCCATTGATGAGGAAGGCAGTCTCAACCTATACCCTCCTGCGGACGGCCCGGGCCACTTTTCTGTTCCTAAATTCAAAATCACACGCACAAAAATGGTCCAAGTGGTTGGGATATGTCCTCCACTGAGGGTCAGAAAAAAATTTTGACTTTAATAAAAACGTGTTTTCTGTCCCCCAGGAGGAGTCCCGCCAGCAGCTGTGGACAGGCTAACAGCCGAGAGGGCTACCCCATGTCTTTGGGAGCGCTTGGTGCAAACCAGTCCTGCTGCTGGATCCCATGTGGCAAACCGACCAGGGGAGGAGGGGAGGGAGACAGGTGATTTTCCACGTCTCTCCAAAGCCTGGCCGG